AAAAAAAATTACATCTTTATTAATAACAAATTAATTATTAAACAAAAATATTAAATATAAACTAAGCAAACGTGCATTGCACGTTGCTTGCACATAGTCTTCTACAAAATGGGAAATAATGCCAAACAAATAGGGGCTTACTTTTTAATACGCACATAAAATATTCCAAATTTTTTGTTATCAAGTTTTATAATTTGAATAATTAGTGTATCTATTTATCTTCTCCAGGCTAGAATGGATTTTTAAAATTCTCGTCAATAACCAAAAGAAATTGCTTTTAAGAATCGAAAATAGCAAAAATTATGATAAAAAGAAAACATAAATATAAAAAACCCTGCAGGGGTAATAGGGGAATATACATATAAGGGGGCATTATCGGAATAAAGAGGATGAATACTCGAGTGGCCCCACTCTGCCAGGGCCACGTGCCTGTCGAACCAGTGCACATGCTCCCTTAGAAACAAAGGCGGAATAAAAGTTTAAAAGAAAGAATTCAATCCAAGTCTCCCTATCGGGCACTCGGCTACTAAAAGAGTCTCTCTCTCTTATCTTTCTCTATCCAGCTCCCAACAAACGTTAAAGAAAAAAGCCCAGAAAAAATCTTTAAGAAACAGCCAGGAATTCATCGTCATTTCAATTCATTGTACTCAGATCAGATCTCGAGGTTTAAAACAAGAAGAAGAGAAGGAAACTGATTTAATTTAGTTAAGCAAAACGAAAGAGCGTTTTTTTTTAATTAAATTTTTTTTTGGTAAAATATAATTTGAAATGGAGAAGAACACGCCGGTCAGGAAGCCTCACACATCAACGGCAGATCTACTTACCTGGTCTGAGAATCCGCCGGAATATTCCCCCGCCTCCGCTTCTGCATCCCGTGCATCTGCCCGTTCCCACCAGGTAAAGTTTAATCCATTTCCCGGAATATCTTATTTTACTTCTTTTATTCGTAAATTTAGATTTTTTTTTTTATTTTGGTGGGATTAATTGTACAACAATGAATGACAGCCGTCTGATGGGATCAGAAAGGTGGTGTTTGGCGGTCAGGTTACGGATGAAGAAGTCGAGAGCTTGAATAAAAGGTTAAAGATCTAGATCAATTTGTGTATTGTATTTATTTGTTATTTCTCAATCTTCAATTTCTTTATTAATATTTTTCAAACTGGTGATCTTTTTGTTTATATGATTCTAATTTGAGCAATAAATGATATGGTACAAAGATTTTGTTGTCTAGTGTTTTTGTTTTCTTGTAAATTTTTGGATGCATCGTTATTATATTCACAGTTTTCTCATTTTTTATTTCCTTTGTAAATTTATTCTTGTTTCTTATGACGTTTTGAATGGTAAAATTATTCATGTCAGTGATTGTTCAACTGACATTGTCTTTTAACCAAGAAGTTACTGAATTAGTGAGATCTCTATATACCTCTTTGTGTTTGTAATATTGTCATTTTGAAGACCTTTGATTGCCATATCAAATCTTACCTTAGGTCTTCAAGTCTTGAATTCGACTGACACTCTTGGAGCTACAACTTATGATATGAGCGAATGCTATATTAGCAGTTTTGCTGAATAAATGGACTGTGGAAGGTTTATATGGAAATAAATTCTTTCATAATGTTATAAGATTGAACTAGGAGAACCATCATCAATAGCATAGTGTCGTAGCATGTACTTGAATTCTTGATTGACAACAAAAACTCGCAATTCTTGATTGAACCATCATTGACTTTTGATAGTACCACGAGAGCTTATAACGAGTCACCATATAACAACTTTTCAAACGATTATATGTTATAATGAATAATGCTATATGTACATCCTTCCTTACCATTTGGATGACATTCTCTTCTACGTGGAAGAAATCTGTGCAGTGATGTGATGGATGAGTTTAAAATTAAGAGTGTAGATATTGTCACGTGGAAGAGTGTAAAGGACGGTGTAAGGGAGAGTGTACGTGTACGTGTAGTGTGATTGATGTTTTAATATGGTTTTCATTATTGGCTATCTCAAGATTTAATGCTAATGAGATGCAAGTTGTACTTTTACTATTTCGCGCAGCATGATATTTTTATTGGTATCTATCTTTCCCTTTGTACCTGTTTTGTGGAAATGTTAAAAACTCTTTAGCGTTTGGGCCATTCCAGGAAACCGTGTTCAGACTATAAAATGAAGGAAATGACTGGTAGTGGTATATTCAAATCAAAGGGAGAAAGTGAAGCATCGGAATCTGAGGATATTGAGCAGAACTCGATGAACAAAACTGGACTACGAATGTACCAGGTTTGATATTTTCTGGTTAAGCTTATTATGCAATTCTATATGATGTGTTGTGAACGTTTATATCCTACCTTTGATGGTTGAATCTTTATTAGCAAGCATTGGCGGGAACCAGTCACATTTCTTTTGGTGAAGAAGAAACATTTTCTCCCAAGAAGCCAACTAGTCTGCATGAAGTGGCAAAGCAGCGGGAGTTGAGTGGAACTCTGGAAAGTGAGTCCGAGGCAATGTTGAAGAAACAAATTTCAGACGGAAAAATGAAGGAGCTTAGTGGGCATGATATTTTTGCCCCACCACCTGAAATTCAACCCCGCCCCTTGGCTACTCGCGCTTTGGCGTTACGAGAAAGCATTACTATTGGAGAACCTGCATCGGATAATGTAGGCACATATATGCTCATTCTGTTGTCCTTACAGTAGCTCACTTTTCCTTATTCGTCAACCTAGAAAATAATAGAACAAACATATAAAATATTTGATTAAAATTGTTGTTGGAAAGGTAAAATTGAGAACAAGTTCTGTTAAAGTTTACGATCTAAAAGTTCGACCACAAATTGACGATTTTTTATTTAATAAATCGGTATCTCCTTTTTGGTATGGTTGATACATCTCTTGGTCTTTTATGGAATTTGAGATTCTTCGTTTTTCTAGTTAGTTCTCAAAATTTTCTCATTTGTAGGGTGCTGGAGGCCAGAACAATGGTGCTCTGAGTGAGGAACCCACTGTCAAGACAGCAAAGAAGATTCCTAACCAGAAATTTGCAGAGCTTTCAGGCAACAACATTTTCAAGGGAGACGCATCACCTGCATCTACTGAGAAGCCTCTGAGTTCTGCGAAATTGCGAGAAATGAGTGGCAGTAATATATTTGCCGATGGGAAAGCTGAATCCCGGGATTACCTAGGTGGGGTTCGGAAACCCCCGGGTGGGGAGAGCAGCATTGCTCTGGTGTAACTTGTTAGGTTTAACTCAACTGTTTACTTATTACTCGTGTCTATCTTATTTAGACGGGGATTTCTTTTCATATAATCTGTCTTTTCATATATGTTGTCATTATCGTGGGTGTTTTCTTTCATCTTAGAAGGGATTTGTTCCAATATGATTTGACCTTTGAGTTGTGGGTTTTGGTATGTTTTAGGGTTGATTAACATGTTCATCAGTGCTTGGTTATGTGCGCTAAATTCAGGTAGTTCCTTTTGTTTTTTACTTCGAAAATCTTTCGAGTTCTCAATGTGTTTGTAACCTGTTCTAGTTGTTGACATTACTGAAAATTTCCTGGTTTTTATGAGTGTCTGTTTGATTGGATCGAGGGACTCGAAGCAAGCATTTGACTACTCGTATTATTCGAGTACATGCAGAGATGTCATACATGGATTTGTTGACAGTGCAGAAGTAACTTATGATTGGACTTTGTTCTAATGTTATCTAAGTTACATATGCTATAGCTTTATTTTAGGATTCTTGAACGGAAGTGTTTGTATTGTAGAACCTAAAAACTTGTAAATATCCCTAGCCATTTCTTAAGCTATAATCAAGGGATGGTTACTTGTCACTTCGCTTTCAAGGTGGTTTACCTGCATTTGACTTCAACTTTACTCTTTACTTGTTGGAGAAGATACCAGTACATTAAAAGGACATTGCGAGGATGACATCAAAAGTGTGTTTGATATATATTAAAATGAAAAAAATGCATTTTTTTGTGACGTAATGGTGAACATGTGGTTGGAAAAGAATAAAAAGTTATTTATGTGATGAAAAATATTATTTTATTGAAGAACGTGTGGTTGAAAATGAGTAAAAAATGATAATGAAAATAAGAATGTGGCTCAAACATGGGCTAAAAGGAAATACTTCTCTAAGTCCCTGTTTGACACCCATTTTTTTTAAAAAATAATTTTTTGAATAGTGATTGATAGAAGATTGTATGGTTAAAATGTAAGGAGAATGTTTGGGTTTATGTATAATATTATTTTATTAATAGAATGTGTGGTTGAAATGAAGAAAGAGAAATAAAATAAGAAACAAATTAGTGTCAAACAGGAGCTGAATAACATAAAATAAAATATACTTACTTCATTTAGAGTAAACTTTTTTTTTAATCGATAGTATTATCTAATTTTGTGGGCACAAAGAATATAAATCACGCTATTTGTTAATTAACAGTGTATATGATAATTACATGAGATTAAAAAACAAAAAAAATATAATAAAAAATATAAACATGAGTGGGTAAGAGCATGTTTACCTAAGCTCAAGAAATTTAATTACAAGTAAAACATTATTTTTTATTCATCAAAGTTGAATAATAAATTACTTTAACAATAATAAGACACGAGTTTTTTTTTTTTTTTTTAATTTAAAGTGAGCACAAAATAAGTTTCTTTTTTCTACAACTTATCCAAACTTGCTGATAGACTTGTACACCAACACCTACTAATAAAAGTGTAGAAAACTTCATTTGACCATCTAGAAGGATAAAAGAAAAGTAGGTCTATTTTCCCATTAAATATTTTCCTAGTGGGCACATAGGAGTATTAATGTGAAAGCAATCGCCAGTCTGTCTCTACGATACTAGTTGGACAGTAAGGAAAGCTATACGTAAAGGCTTTCAATCACAGAATTTTAAAAAATATCACGTGGCAAAGAGAAAAAAGGTGTGCTACAGGTAATTTTTAAAAAATGAAAGAAATAAAAATTCTATTTAGGCCCTGTTTGGCCCCCATTTTTTGGGGTTGAAAATTTGTGGAATAGTGATTGATGGGAAAATGTGTGATGGAAAAATTTTAGATTTGTGTGTAATATTATTTTATTTGAGAATGTGTGGTTGAGATGAAAAGAGAAAAAAAAAATTAATGTAATGAGAAAAAATGGGGCTCAAATGGGGCTTAACATGTCGATTTTCGAGATAATTACAAAATGTCAAACGAAGTCGAAATATTATATTTTTAATATCATTTTTGAAGTGTTCACACCTAGTTTTTAACATCATTAATAACTTGCGAAACGGTCAATCGTAGCAAATGTTATCGCGAGTCGAATTTTGGTTGCACACTAACTTTAAAAATTCTCCGACGATCGTACACTAGTCGAATTCTTAAATCGCATACGCTATCTCGAAGTTCGTTTTGAGAACTACATCTCCGATAAATCGAATTGCCTAAACGAATATAAAAAATAGTTAAACGTGTGTCAAACATGCTTGTTAAAAAGAGAAGTGTAACTCGTCTTTTCTTTAAAAACTTTCAATTATTTCATTAACGTTTATTATTTTTGCACGACAATTTTTTCAATATAATTTACATCGTTTTATTAGAAATTTTACATGAAATATGACTTTGAAAATTTTCAAAGTAAAAAATTTATTATGAATTTTTAGGAAAAGTAATTCAAACTTCATGTAAAATTTTCTCCTAAAAATCATAATAATGTTTTTACTTCTGATATCACAATGTATGTAAAATTTCTAATAAAATAATGTCAATTATTTTGAGAATTTTGTCACTCAAAAATAATAAACCTTAATAAAATAATTTTAAAAAATACGAGTTATACGTTTCTTTTAATACGCATGTTTGATGCAAATTTAACTATTTTCGATGTTCGTTTAGATAATTAGATTTGTCCGTGACGTAGTTCTCGAAACAAACTTCGAGATAACGTATGCGATTTAAGAATTCGACCAGCGTACGATCGTTGAAGAAATTTTAAAGTTAGTATGTTATCTAAATTCTCGAAATACTAGTTTATTTGCTACGATTGGTCATTTCACACGCTGTTAATGATGTTAAAAATTAGGTTGTGTGCATTTCAAATTGATATTAAGAATATAACGTTTTAACTTCGTTTGACATCTCGTAATTATCTCGAAAATTGACATGTTAAATAGAGTTTTTATTTCTTCCTTTTTCTTTAATTACCTGTAGCGTACCCTTTTTCATTTGCAACGTGATATTTTTTAAAATTATGTAAAAGTCCTATGATTGGAAGCCTGTATAGCATTATTGTAAAGAAAATGAAACAAAACAGAAGTCTTATTCCCACACCTAACTTTGATTTGAATTAATTCGCTATTTTGTTACATTCGATTATCTATGATGGCCCAAATTGCTGGAAATTATACCTTTGACATTCATATCGTGATTGATCTTCCACAAAAATGTTACATAGACCACCACATTCTAGAAATGATGAGATTGAAGATTATGTCCACAGTTTGGATTACAGTGTTAAAATTCATATTTCTTAAAATTATTCTAATTGTACATCAAGAATGGTGCTTGTTTGGGAGGGATTTTGGGGGAATAATTGATTTTGAATAGTGATATGATGGGAAATGTGTGGTTGAAAAAGAAGAAAAAATTATTGATGTGATGGAAAATATTATTTTATTGAAGAATGTGGTTGAAAATGAGAATTGATTTACTGTAGAAAATCAAAATCCATACCAAACAGGCTCTAGGAATAAGATTAATTAAATATTATAGTGGCTTGACATTTCTTTACACGAGAAATACTCACTCCATGTTTGACGATGTTTAAATTATATACTTTTTATTTTCACATTTCATAAGATTCATAATTTACTATCTATTTATTAATTTACATATTTCTAGAATTCACAACTTATAAACATTTAAAAATAGTCTTGTTAGCAATATTTACAAATAATAAAGATTTATTGCAAAACTTGACAAGATTTTAGGTTTTTTGTTTTTGATTTTTACTATTTATAATAACGTTTTTTTATATTTTTTTCCTCGCAAATTATGTTTTGTATTATCAATAACTAAAATATTATGCCCCTGTTTGACACCCATTCTCATTCTTACTTTTTTCTCTTTTTTCATTTCAACCACACATTCTTCCAATAAAATAATATTACACACAAATCTAAAACTTTTCACAATTTTTCCATCACACATTCTCCCATCAATCACTATTTCAAAAATTATATTCTCCAAAAAATGGGTATCAAACACCCTCAGTATGCAAATGTTGCTTTACAAGAGACATGGTTCAGATAAAACACGATTTTCCACATATAAAACATAGATAATATATTATTCAAGATAACTCGAGTTTACGCACACATTTCTCAATAAGAGAGACATGGTTTAGCTCACGACACGACAACAAAAGACACACAACGCAAAACATTGGCATAAATTAAAACACACGTACAGAAAAACCATATAGCAGTAGCTGCCATTATTCAAGCTTCCTCGTGTCCGATCAGGGCCAACAGCATTTTCTCGTAATCTCCAGTCGTGTCCTTAGCAATGGCGCGATCCAGTGGCACACTGTTCCTCTTCTGATACTCGTGCTTGATTATTTTCATGTCAATCTCAGCTCGAGTAGCAACAATTCTTGTGAGAGCTCCTTCATCCGTCCCTTGCCTGTTAATTGCAAGGCGAATAGCCTTTTCAAAGTACTTCTCAGGGCATATCAAACACTCGATAGTTCCTCTCAGTATTGAAAGGAACTCGTCCTTGGGGTCGGCTTCTAAATCCTGCGAATAAAATTTCTTTCAGATAACGCGTCAAGCTGGAAAATTAACCGTGAATAAAGTTCACACGCATTACCTTGCTTATATCATTTCCAAATTCATTTTTGTATTGATTTATCGTCGCATTAACCTGTGCTTTGCTCCTCGTTGCCAAAATCCTAATGAAGTCATCATCATTGCAAGCCTTCTTCGAAATTTTCTCGTGCAGTAGTTTAGCTTCTGTCTTTGCAAGTGTCAAGTTAACTTCATCTCCCCCATATCGATATGAGCTCACCAAGGAGACCAAAAGCTGAAATAATTAACAAAGTGATAAATAAATTCTGTCCAAGGAACACACACGTCGCCTTTCGACTCTCCTTTCTATTTAAACAACTTTGCATTTTCTTGAAGCCAAACTATCATCTTAAGTAATGCCTAGTTTCTAAGGGCACGTATGATACGCAGTACT